AGGGCGCAGTACCTCGAGAAGTTCGCGGTGCTTCAACTTCGCCAGAAAGCTACGACGAGCACTGCTTCGCCGTCGCGCGAGGTGGCGTCAACCGCTCTTCAGGGGCGAGGTGGCTCTGGGCCTCCTGCGAGAGGATGGATAAGGTCCTTGGGGAGGTCAAGGGCAAGCACTGGAGGGAGTCGGGGAAGCTCTTGTCCCGACCAGACTCGTTGACGGGTTCCACGTTGCCAGAGCTGATGGAGCACAAGATGCCAGAGAATTGGGAGGCGATGTCTGAGGGCGACCTGCGCAAGCTCGTTCTCCAATCCGCTGGGGCGGCCGACGAGGGGGACTACGAGAACATCGCCAGCGCTTCGTGGACGGCCGGCGGCGACGCAGGCGACAAGACGGGCGACGTCACGGTTAAGGTCGAGGAGGCCAGCGAGCTTGAGAAGCTCCAGAAGAGGATCAGCGAGCTGAAGGAGAACCCTCGCGGAGCCTTCGATCACTTCGCTACCGCGGGAGTGGAGGCCAAGAAGATCAAAACGAACGGCCAGAACAACCAGGCCGCCAAGGCCTACGCTGGCGCGCTGATGTCCGACATCGAGAAGCACATTCCGAAAGTCACCAGGGTCGCGAAGCTGCTCGAGAAGACGTTGACCGACGATGCCGACGAGTCCGCACTCCCGAAGCTCATCGGCATGATGGTCGAGATCAAGCGCAGCCACGACAACGTCCTCGAGTGGGCGCAGAGGTTCGGGCTGCACGACGCTGCCTCGAAGCGTCAATCGAGGAAGCGCAAAGCAGTAGTCGGCAAGCTACACATGTTTTGGTTTCGTTTGAGTCGGCAACTCATGCGTTGAGGCGGGGCCAGGAGTTGCACGCAGATTTAACCTCTTGGGGATACGCGCTCGTCGACGCTAGACGGGAATCCAGAAACGGTGCGAGTGAACAACATACAATGCAAAACGCCCAGGGAACCAGAATCCCACCAGCCCTCTGGGCGCAGGTAATCTAGGCCCGCCCCCTTTCCAACCTCATGCATTTCCCTGCTCGGGAGGTTTGCCTCCCCCCCCTTCCCTGCGTTTGGGCGGGGGGGGGGGGGGGGCGGGCCCGTAGAAGCGTCCAAGATGGCTCCATGAGGGCCTCCGAGAGCATGGCCCAAGATAGCGGTAGACGGATCAAGATAGCCCCCGACACGCGTCCAAGAGGCCCCAAGACGGCCCCAAGACAGTTCCAAGTGCCCTCCGAGGCCTCCAAGGACCCCCCAAGAGGCCAAAATCATTCAAACACCTAAAGAAAATCAATGGTGTTTGCCTTCTCGCTTTTTCGCCGCCGAAAGGTTCTTGAGGCCTCAAGATGGCCCCCAGACGGCCCGCTACAGCCCCAATAGGGGCCCAAGAGAGCCCCAAGACGGCCCTAAGAGCGCCCAAGAACGCTCCAAGAGCGGGCCCAAGACTACATGTTTGTTAATGTGCTTTCTTAATGGGCGCGTAGATAGGGCCGTGAACAGCCCGAAATCGGTCGTCAAACTTTTTCAAAATATTGACGCTGGTTTTTGGCCCAAAAGGGCCCAAGGCGGCCCCAAACGAGCCCCAAGAAGCCCCAAGACGGCCCTAAGAGGACCTCAGGGAAGCCCAGAGAAAGAGCCCCAGGGTGCCCCAAGAAGGGCCCAAGAGAATCCCAAGATGGCTCAAAGTTTCGGAAAACACGCGGGCTTAATATACAAATCAGTGCAACAGCCATTACGAGTCATCGAAATACCCCTCACCTCTCATCGAACCACCATCGTAACTTACACTGGCTTCCATCTTACACTTCAATACGGGAAGCTATGTGTGATGCTTGTGTTCTCGAAGACGGCCGCGCGACTGCATGCGTTCTGCCGCCCTTGATTCACCAACCCCCCTGCTGATCGTTTCTGGATGGGCTGGTGGGGATACGCGAAGCGTCGAGACTTTGATGTCCAGTGCTCCTTAGCTCGTCGGGGCGCCAGTGTCAGCGACTCGTTTCGTCGGGTCATCCTTGATGAATGCCGTTGGGCTGCCCAAACCATCCCACATTGAACGAGCCCCCCCCGAAGGCCAGAGATTTCTCAGTAACTATGTGGGCTCAATTTGAAGATGAGGGGAATGCTACGCCTACTTCTTTACATGCCATGCTTTTCCACACAAGCAAGCTGCACGCCTCGTTGCAGGTTTCGGGAGGCAGAGGCTCCGCTACCGACTGGCGACGGTGGGGATCGATCGCGCTCAGACGGCGCCCCCACTAGTTTGCACAAAAGGCTTCGCACAGCAGAAACCGCGTCGTCGTCTTCCTCTGTTTCCCAAGGGCCGTTGCCCTTGACTCAGAGTCTCCGTCGAGATTGGGCGAAGGGGAGGTTGAACAGCCGTCAAGTGCAAGAGTACGCGGCCAACGCAAGATTGCAGGGGGCTGTTGGTCTTGATTCAGTCGCGGCTGCTGGGGCCCCTGGCAAACATCCATCGTCGATTCATCGCGCCCTCATGGGCCTTTTTCGGGAGACCAGCTGGGGCCCCAGAGCTAGATTATTTCGAATTGCCGAACGCAGCTTCGAAAGGCACGGGGCCACACCCCTTCTTGCTGCCCCATAGTTTTTTTTCAACGGCTATACAGTGAGAGGCCACAGTGCTGGATAAAATACATGAGCGGCGGCCCTGGCGCAGCTTTGGAATACTGGAACAATATTGCGACCGCGCCATTCGTGCAGCAACACCCCGTGGTAAGACCTGATATGTTCGCCCGTTTGGTCCCAATCGGGTTTCATGGTGCCGGTGGAGGATTTGCAGAACATGAGTCTCTGCTGGTGTTGTCGTGGAACTCGTTGTTGGTTTCGGGGTCTACTCGTTACAAGCGTTTCGTTTCTACGGTAATCCGCAAGAAGGATTACAACAAGCACATCCTGAATAGCATGATGCCAATGTTTGCTTGGAGTGTGAATGCGCTGCTGACGGGAGCAACGCCGCATGTTGATTTTACTGGGCGGCCGTTTGCAGGGGGAGGACAACCAATGGCAAGTGATTGGTTGGGGCGCCTCTGTCAAGCCAGAGGGGACTGGCAATTGCATTGCGAGCTGTTCGACTTCCCCAAGTGGAACGAGAACGAACGGATGTGCTGGATGTGTTTGGCTAGCGCGACTATACCTTTGTTGTTATATACAGATTGTTCGAGGGGGGCACGGCGACGATTCACAAAATCCACACGCGAATCATTCGTATCTTACATGAATGCGAAATGCCTGGACCTGCCGCGTGTATTCTTGCAATTGATAGGCTTTCGATTGAAATGCGTGCTTGTGGACGTTCTCCACGCGGCAGACCTCGGCATGTCGGCATCGATCATAGGGAATGTCTTCTGGGAATCAGTTGTGCATCGTTGCTGGGGGGGCACCGCGATCGATGAAAACCTCCGCGAGCTCAGAGCAGATCTAGAGGCCCGGTATAAATCTACACGGTGCCCTGTGCGCCTGCAGGGGGACCTCACGAAAGAACGACTCCGCCCAGATGGACAATGCCCAAAACTCAAAACTCAAAGCAAAAGCAGCAGCAACGAGATATCTCGCAGAGTACGCACTTATCGTGGCCAAACGTTTCTCCAGCGGCAGCGGCCACGATTGTTTGAAGGTAGCAGTGGCAGAGCATTTAGTCGATTTTCACAGCATAATGTCGGGGGCTGGCCAATTTTTCCCGGATGATGAGAAAACAAAGTTTGCGGTCGTCGGATATAACATGTCGAGGCTCTGCGCGATTCTGTCGGCGGAATCTTTCGCGCGATGCGAGAGACTATGGAAGTACGCCCCCGAAGTCCATCTGATTGAACACCTCACGTGTGACCAGGCCCCGATATGGGGCAACCCGAGATATTACTGGACATATGCAGACGAGGATTTGGTAGGATTGCTGGTAGAGATTTCCGAGAGTTGCCGCGTTCGCACTTTGCCTACCGTCGCTTTGTGCAAGTGGTTGATCATCGCGTTTGATGATGATTCAGAGTCTTAGGGAAACATTATGCGTTACGCTTCGCGCTGGCACGCCCCGACTATCATCGCTTCGCGTTGGTGCGCCCCGATGTAATTACATCGTTTCACGCTGGCACGGCCAGTTCAAATTGCCAATGCATGCATTGTTTTGTTTGGTGTTGTCCGACACAAAAAAAACGACACCATTTCAAAATAGAGACGGTGATTACAAACAACCAAACAACCGAAGAACACCAGCACAAAACGACCACAAACACCAACAACACCAACACACAGCAACAGTAACAATCAAAAGAGACCACAACAAGCACCAACAACAAAGCAACACGAACCCATGCCGACCAAGAGCAATAATGCATCACTCCTGTTTTTTCCCGGTCAGCGCACTCTATAATATAGATATAGGTGCCGTATCCATAAAATGGATTCTCCTCGCCATAATTATAGCCTGATTTCACCATATTATGGAATATCTCCTATATTACAGGTTGAATTTTCTATAATATAGAGGGGCGCTGACCCATTATATAGCGGTCATCTTGGTTTATGGTGATTCGCCATAAATATGACGGTTCTGCTCCTCTGGGCAGGACGAAGAGCCGGTCCCGGGGAAGGGGTCCAGACCTCTGGGGGTCGACGTTGTGAAAAAATCACGGCGTCGGGGGTCTGGGTTAGAAACACCCCTGCTCCTTAGAAGGCGCGGGCCTGATCTATAGATGTGAGGCCGGCGCCTTCTATGAAGCAGCCTGCTTCTAAGAAACCCTCCCCCCTCCCCCCACCCCCTTGTGCGCAGCTGGGGGGGATTGGGAAAGGGGGGGGTACGAAATCTGCTGCATGCAGCTGATGTCGGCCTCGCCGAGGGGCCCATTCCTCGATACATGGGCGCCTCCGGCGCCGGGAGGCGCCAGGGAAAAGCAGCTGCGTAAGCTGATTCTCAACCCCGAGGTCCAGGTCCGTCGGTTTCGGTCCCAGGCCGTTTTCACTAAGGGGAGGTCTACTAAAGGGAGATTTGTCCACCGCCGAAGGCAGCACCCGCACGTGCCCAGCTGGCGGCGGATGCTGGAGAGCCCCGCGCCGCCCGCGCAGGCCGAGAGCGGGGCTCTTAAGCGACGGGGCTCGAAGCCAACGGCCCAGAGATCCAACGCGTTGGAAAAATCAAGACGGAGGTCTTTCTCAATGTTCGGGGGTTGCTAAAGGTGCCCCTGGCCCAAGGTGCCCCCAGATGTTCGCTTAATTTTGGAGCCCCTGGGGCGCTCTGGGCCTCGTAAGGGGTGCTCCGGAGGCCTTGGGGCCTCCTGGCTCAAGTGGCGGGGCTCGAGGCAAAGATCGGGACAAAATCGGATCAGGATAATTCGAAATCTCTGAGAATCGGCGGGTTTGGAGGATGTACTGGGCGCCGCGACCGCTCCAGAGCGTTCCGGAACGCTCTGAGAGCGCTCTGGAACGCTCTGGAGCGATTTATCTCGATCCTGGCCCTGTTTTACTTAAGCGACGGGGCTCGAGGCAGACGTTGCCAGCCTCAAACGTAGCCCTACCCCTAAGAGTGACACGCCAGAAGGCGATGACAATCTTAGGGGTTCGCCCTCAGAAAATAAGGGGATCCCTAAGATTGGCATCGTGATGAGGAGATGCCCAGCATAGGGATAGGAATACGTTACAGGCTGGTAAAAGCGGCCCAGAGATCCAACGCGTTGAACAAAAATCAAAGCGGAGGTTTTTCTTGACGTCCGGCCTCTATAGGGGCCCTCGCCGGGCCCCGGGACCGGCAAACGACTCAGGATGAAGAGCCGGTCCTGGGGAATGGGTCTAGACTTCGGGGGACCGCGCAATGCACAAGTCACAACGTCGGATCTTTGGGAGGCTTCAGCGAGGGCGCCGGATTGTGCAGGACCCTGCAGGGCCAGGGGCCCATGGTTTTCTGGGCCCAGCGCGCAGGACGCTGCAGGATCTTGGAGGATCTTGCAGGCCCAGAGCCTGACGACTGTAAGTGGTGTGGTTACGCAGGAGGAGGAGGAGGAGGAGGAGGAGGAGGAAGAGCAGGAGGAGGAGGAGGAGGAGGAGGAGGAGGATTGGGTGTGGTTTGCGGTCGGCGCCGTCGGGGCCTGGGGGACACAGCACGCCGCTGCACTGCCTGCGGCCGAGAGCTCCGTCGAGGTGCCCGCCCGCTCCTGCAGGGTGCCCGCCCGGGCGTCGGTGGCAAACCACGCCCTCTGCAAGCGTTTTGGTCCGCGGGTCGAGACTGGGCAGTCGAAGACCAGACTGTCAGACTGGATTGGGCCCCAAGGGCCAATCTGGCCTGGCCATATTAGAGGATTTGGGTTATTCGCCAGACTGGATTCGCGTTGGCTCCCTCGCCAGATTGCCCTCGTTTGCCAGATTGAGCCTGCCAGATTGGCGCCAGATTGGCTTCGACTACCCAGCGAGAGCGAGCCTCTTCCAGTCGAAGCTGAGCGGGCCGCGCACAGCTTTCATTGACAGAGGGGGGGAAGGCAGAAGGAGGGGCCTCACGTCAAGGCCTAAGAGAGGGCAGAGCCCTGGAAGCAGGCGGTGCCGAGGGCGATGTGCATGCAAAGGAACGCACGCCCTTTGCAAACACACATGTGTCGGACTCGCCGACCAGAGCTCGGGAGAGGAAATTACCAGTTTGAAACACAGCCTTACCCCTATGTCTGGCATCACTGCGTCAACTTACCTCGATGCCGACCTTACGGATTCCCTCGCTTCCTGAGGGCACATCCCCGAGATTATCTCTTCGCTTTTGCCTTACCCATCTTAGGGATAGGAATGAGGTCGAGTCTGGCAAAGGAAGGGCGCCCAGGAGATTCAACGCATTGACAAACTCAATATTTCAGCTTGTTCTGCCTCTGTACATGCCCTCGTTGGGCCCCAGGACCGCCAAAAATCTGCTCAGGATGGACAGTTCGCCGGCCCTTCCGACGTCGATCGATATTTCCAGGAGCTCCGTGCCCAGACGTGCGGTGTTTTGTTTTTGTTCCGTACGCAACCCCTGGAAGCGGCCCTTTTCCCAGGGCCCGTTCTTCCTTGCGAGTCTTTCTGTTGACGGCCCCGGGGCCCGGCGAGGCAGCTCCGCGGAGGCCGACGATGACCAACCACCTCCCGTCGGGATTGCTCTACGACGCAAGCATGTCTGGGTATTGAAAAGATGATACCGGAGAAATGCCCCAGTCATGTAAGTTGCTTAGAGCTATAGGGCTATGGGGCTGTAGGGTTACGGGGCTACACGGCTATACACGGCTACAGGGCCATAGGGCCATATGGCGATAGGACCCCTGCAGAGGCAAGCCCTGGGCATTGAAAAAACAAGACGTCGGGTCTTTGGGTACGGATCTTGGCACCGCTCGGACGTGTGCATTTTTTGTCGGCGAGAGCCATCGAGGACCATCCTGTACCATCGAGCAAAAAAAAAAAACACGACACCGAAAAAGGCACGGGAAATAGACGTCTGAGCGACGGCAAGGGACGCCGTGGCCCCGCCCGCGTGGTCGCCCTGCTGGGCCTCCCGGAGAGCCTGGCGCCGCCCCGCGGGCCCAGGGGGGGGGGGGCAACGATCGGGAGGGACCGGCGCGGGGAGGGGGCAGACCACGGTTCTGGACGCCCGAAAAGGGTACGGACAGAATGGGTACAATGCCCAACAGCGGATCCTGTTCATCTTGAACAGGACTCGCTGTCCGCGCCGCCGCGGCCCGTGTCCATTCGAGACAGGAGGCCGCCCGCCCAACAGCGGCCGCTGTTGGTTCGGGACAACATTTGCTGTTGGGCATTGTGCCCATTCTTTCCGTGCCCATTTCGGGCGTCCAAAACGGTGGAAGTAAGTCGGGCCTGTCCCCCTACAGGGGGAATGTTTAAAGATAGTCAAGAATTCGTCTGGGGAGGATTGTGTTGTCAACTTGTTTTGGTTTTTCTTTGGTTATTGTATGACTATTGCTTCTTTTTCGTGCAGAATCCCCCTGTAGGGGGACATGCCCGACCTAACGCTGGAGCCGGCGATACATCGCCGAAAGCTGGGCGATGGGCCCGCGATTGCGAATCCGCACGTTCCTGGGCGGGCGTGGGCTATCGGGGCCCTATCGGCGATGCGTGGGCGATTGGGGGTCGATGCGTCCCCCCCATGAGCCTGACCCCCACCCCCCTGAGCCTGACCCCCCCCCCGGATCTCCGAAGACGAGAAGGTGCCCATACCGCTCCTCCTCCCTCGGAGTCGCCTTTTTGGGCCTCCTGGTGGGCCCTCGTCGCCACGTCTGGATTCGCCTCGCCACGGCTGGATTCGCTTCGAATCTCTGGTCGGAACGCACCCCGAGAGTAGTTGGGGGAGGTACCGATACCTTCTGGCTTCCCCCAGATCTCCGACGATGCGATGTGTTCCACCAGCGTTTCATCATAGAGTTCGGCCATCGCGGGGGCCGTTTTGGGGCACTGGGGCGATCAGAGTCAGGTCCGGAGCGAAAAACACAAGTCAAAACCGATGGTACATTCAAACCGCATAGTAAGGATGATCGACTTCCGAAGGGTACCCTTGCATCCTTGCCTCTTCGGCCATCTTCGGTCATCTTCGGTCCATCCTCAACCTTTTTCTATGGCCAGCCCCGCTCGAAGAGCCTCGGTATGGCCGTCCAAGGCTCTCGCATCCTTACCGCACAGCCTTATGATATGGGCTTGCTGCAAGGATGGGTAACCTTTCGAAGTCCAAGGGTACCTCTGCATCTGTGCCTCTTTGGTCCATCCTTGGCCATTTTCCTTCGGTCGCCCGCCGCGCTCGAAAAAAAGCGCCGTCATGTCCGTCCAAGGAGCTCGCATCTTTGTCGCGCATCACTGCTGCACGTTTTTGCGTACGCCCCCAGCGAAGGATTCGGAACTTCTGGGGCCGTGGACCGAACAGCACCATGTCGGCACACGTCAGGGAGGGCACCGCACGGGGCTAGAACGAGGGGAGAAGTCCGTTCCAGAGCGTGCCGGAACGCTCTGGGAAGGCCGCGGCGCACGAGACATGATCCAGAGCCGCCGTATCTCAGGGGTTCTCGGCTTGCGGTAGCTTCGTGCGGCGTTGGCGCGGCGGCGACGCCGGCGAAGGCGTTCAAGATTGAATTCTGCGACGCGGAAGCCTCGATGGGCACGATGACGCCGCTGGACCCAACCGAATTCCACCTTCAACGATCGGGGACGCGATCGGTTCAAGGTTGAACGATCGACGCGGTGTCAGAAACTTCTGCGCGCGCGCCGACGCCGCGCGAACCTGCCGTACCCTCACCCGAATTGATCTTCGAATCTCGATTCTCGATGTAACTCTTGGCATCGCTCGGACGTGTGTTTTTTTCCTTCGACGAGGGCCCTCGAGGAGCATCCTTGATCATTCGGCGAAAAAACAACGCACGAGACCGAAAAAAACACAGGGAATGGACGCCCGAGCGATGGCCAGAACTTCGAACTGATCCCCGAGCTTCCCGATTCTCAACTCACCCTCATCCTCGTCCTGGCTTCGCCTTTGGGTATGCAGGCCGCCGCGCAGCGGCCGCCGGCGTCTTCGGCCGACGCGCGCTTCCAGGCGGCGCTGCAGGCGTTCCGCCAGCAGGCTCAGCAGTCGGGGGCGGGCCAGGACCCCGGGCTGCTTCGGGGCCCCACTGCTCGTGGGCGGGAAGTCGACCTACATAGATCATAGATTTATCTGTGTTTTCATATATATATATAAATATATATATATATATAGATAGATAAACGGTCGAGGATCTGATCAAGAAACCGCCCCTCGAGAAGACGGGCCAGCGTTTTTTCCAGCATCTTGCCAGGCAGCTGGCCCAGTTTCTGGAGCATGTCCGCCCTATCCACCGTGACCAGCAGAAGTGTGTCTGCCAATTGATCGAGGCACGCGAAGCCTTCGTACCAGCTCGAGTCTGATTGTGATCCCCTGCCCGATCGAAACAAACAAACTGTATCTGGCAACTGCAATCTGCTACAAAGATCAAATACTTGTATGTATAACGATCGCGACGAACACAACCATAAAAATAAACAAACCATACGAAAACAATGTGATTTGTTTGAATTCTTACGGACTTCCATAATCAAACAAAGCAGAGAAACACAGTACGAAACAACAGTAACCAAATTACCTTCTGCTGATTAAAAAATCGCTCTGCGTGCCCAGGGGGAGCAAGCGTTCCTGTTTTGCCCAGTGCGAGAGGCCTCTCTCGAGCTGTGTCGAGCTGGTGCTGCGCCAGGAGCACACATATCTGCTCTGTCTGCTGCCTGCCAACGCACATGCTTGCTGGCATCGCTCGGACGTGTGCATTTTGTTCTTGGCGAGGATCCTGGAGGAGCATCCTGGACCATCGAGCAAAATAGACGAAATCGAACAATGCATGGGGAAGGGACGTCCGAGAGATGCCAAGTCTTGCATGCTGGGGGAGTGCACGGGGGAGGGAAGCCGGAAAAAAGCTGTAACAAGTCATGTTGCATGCCTCCGAAACATTGCTAACATACATATTGTGTATAATCCAATGCGCAGTTTCCAGGGACTTCTGGAAAGCTTGCCCAGGTGTTTTAATGTATCACTATCTTGATCACAAGTTCGGCATGCGCATGTGTGTGCGTGTGTGTGTGTGTTAGCATAGGTGCGCCAATACGACTACATGTGAGTAGCTGTGTGCATACGTGTATGCATGAGGATATGTATAGATGGTTCATCTCTCTCTCTCTCTCTCTTTCTGTGCATCTCTCTCTCTCTCTCTCGCTCTCTCTCCTTCTCTATACATGGTGGTGCATCTCTCTATCCTTCTTTCTATTTAGGTGCATGTATCGGGGGGGGGCATCTCTCTCTCTCTCTCTCCTCTCTCCTTCTCTGTATATATATATATATGTATACGTATCATGAAACCTGTAATGTGCCATATATGTTTTACAAATGAAAGACCATAGTCTTTGTGGTGTGATATATGTGGAGCAATCTTTGTGAAGCAATATCAGTGGTGCAATTTGCTTGGTGCAATCTATGTTATGTAGTGTATGCGGTGTAGTCAATATGGTGCAGTTGATGTGATGCAGTCTTTCTGGTGCAATCTCTGTGGGGCTATGTATGTGGTGCAATATTTGTGGTGACATATATGTTCTGCATTCTGTGTGGTTCAAGCCATGCCGAGAAGATGGGCGGCGACGGGGCGGCGACAGCGGTAATTTAGCCGCCAGACCGCACCACAGGCTCAGACGACGGGCGGTGACGAGGCCGCGACGGGGTGCTGGCGGCGACATCATGTCCGCCTGACCACACAGGCCCAGAATACGGGAAGCGACGAGGCGGCGACGAGGCGGCGACGGCGACAACATAGCTGCCGGACCGCCACACAGGCCCAGATCCTGAGAAATAACTACGATCCTCAAGTACAAGCCCTATTTGGGGGATATGTGTTGTTCATGTGTGCATACTCTTATACATTTTCAGAGACAGAGCGAGAGAGATAGAGGGATAAAATAACAAAGAGGAGGAGAGTCAGACAGAGAGCGAGTGAGAGAGAGAGAGAGATCCGCGACCTCCCGGCCCAGACTCTTCGGCCGAGCCGCCAGGGATGCAGTGCAGCCCGTGCGCAGACATGCCCCGCGTGGAGCACGTCCGTTGGATCACGCCTCTGTGGGATCGCATCTCGGTGTCCAGACCGCGAGGGCGTGGACATGAATGCGCTCCCAGGGGTCCTCGTCCTCTGGGTACAGGGTCCGGCTCGAATAAGGAACACTTTCTTTTCAAAAGGGGCTCGGTCGTTCTTTTGGTTTGCATGCGTTCCGCCGCCTTTTTGGCGGCGAGCCCCCCTGGTGTTCCCTCGGACTTCCCAGACTTCCTTGTAGAACAAGGGGCTTCGGTCCTTAGTTACCGTTCCTTAGGTCAGGCCGCGAATATTGTAGTTTGGCGAATATTGGTGCCCTTGGTTTCCCCCCCCCGGCCCGACAACGGGCCCCACAGGCCGAACCTCCACCACAAAGCACCCAGATTGCACACGACCTGTCGTCGGAGACGTGGGGCTCGCTCCCCGTGCAGGATCCCCCTGGCCGGCGCGCTGGTGCTGGCGCCGATCCACGGGCCGAGTCGTGGGACCCTTTCCCTTGGGCCTATCGTCGTAGAAGTCGACTAATGGAGAGGAAGCGTGCTGCCAAATAATTTCCAGATGTCTGGAAGATGTTTCAAACATGTTTTAAACATGTTGAAAACATGTTTGACATATGTTTAGAACATGCTTTACACAATTTAGACACATATTTAATTCAATGATGGGATTGTTAGAGTGTCCATCGTCATGGCATCCACAAGCCTATAGGGGTAGCGTGCCGTACTACGGGCGAGCATCTGATTAAGAAGCCTCCTCCAGAAAAGTTAAAGTTGGGCCAGCGTTTCTTGGCCAGCTTGCTCGAAAACTGTCTCGGTTTCTCGAGCACGTTCGCCCTCCAGCGTTGACAGCAGAACCTGGCCCAGGTGAGAGACTTCCGGGAAGCTGCCCCAGATTTCTTAGGTGACAGGCTGCTTGACCATAATGCATGTTTTAGATCCTGTTGTGTGGCCCCGGGGCCCGACAACGGGCCCCAGAAGCCGAGATCAAGAGATTGCCCAGATCTAGAAAAACAGATCGTCGATTTCCAGAGATCTGGCGTCGTGATTCTTCCTAGGCCCGTCAACACCCAGGCCCGCCGAGGGCCTCAAGAGGCCGAACAATGAGCAAAACGCCGTCCTGATTTTTGTCATTGTGTTGGATATCTTGCTTCATTCCCCCTTCAGGAAGCCTCCGGCTGGGGCGCTGGCGCCAGCGCCAGCCAGTGGGCCGAGTCGTGGGACGGCTGGGGCGCGGGCGCCGGTGGGGGCCAGGACGGGGCCGGCTGGGGCGCTGGCAAGGGCGGCTGGAAGGGCCAGGGGTCGGCCGCTTGGGGCGCAGGCAAGGGCGGCTGGGACGGCTGCCTCGGCGGCCACAAACCTCTCAGGGGGGGAGGAGGAGGAGGAGGAGGAGGAGGAGGAGGAGGAGGAGGAGGAGGGAGGAGGAGGAGGAGAGGAGGAGGAGGAGGAGGAGGAGGGAGGAGGAGGAGGAGGAGGAGGAGGAGGAGGAGGAGGAGGAGGAGGAAGGAGGAAGGAGGAGGAGGAGGAGGAGGAGGAGGAGGAGGATAGGAGGAGGAGGAGGAGGAGAGGAGGAGGAGGGGGAGGAGGAGGAGGAGGAGGAGGAGGAGGCGGAGGAGGAGGAGGAGGAGGGGGGGTATTCGCAGGGCGGGACGCACCGACGCCAAACTGCCCATGGAGCGCCGCCAAAGAGGGGCCTGATGGCCCACCCCCGCCCAGGAAGGCGCGGCTTCTCTGTCAAGGGCCTAGACGAACCGACCCATCGGCGATGTGTCGCCGATTCCAGGTCGATGCTTCCCCCCCTGAGCTGATCACCCAAAACAGAAACCACCTTCAAAGCCAGTCGGGGACAGCGCGAGTCGGCCTCCAGAGCCAGCGCCCAGGGGTGGTCCTGGCTCGGTGTGCCCCCGGAGCCCGTGGGGCCCTACGGGCCTCCGTGAAGGGGTGCCCCCTGCTCGGAACTATGTGGGGGCAGCGCGAGTCGGCCTCCAGAGCCAAAGCCCAGGGGAGGTCCTGGCCAGGCGTGCCCCCACAGCCGTCCGCGCCGCTGTGAGGGGGAGCCGCTCGCGCACGCGTGGACCGCCCGGGGAACCGGTGTCCAACAACCCTCGTGGATGCCTGCCCTTCCAGGGAGGGGCGAAGGGAGAAGACGACGACGACGACGACAGAGGCATCCTCTCTCCCTCTGGTCTTCTCCTGGGAGTTCCCCGGGACGCCCTAGAGCAAGGTTTGTGTCAGGCGCTTCGAGCTGCAGAGGGCGCTTCGGTCCCAACCCGCGGCATCTACAGGGCGCACAATGCGGGTCGCAGTCGCAGTCGCAGTCAGCGTCGCGGCCTGTGCTCAGGTCGGGCCTGCCCCCCTACAGGGGGATTTTGGAGGCAAAAGGAAAAGTATTCCATACAGCTTCAAAAAGAGTCCAAACATGCTGCAACAAAAAACGCCCCTAGAATTTATACATCGACATATATATACATATATATGTATATGTCTATATACACACATATACAACATGCTTTACTATTCTTCCTGGAGAGGGACAGGCCGGACTTACGCCTGTGCGCAGCTTGGCTCCGCGGAGGCCTCAGCCCGCACCCCGGAGAGCGACCGAGGCGCCCGGGCCTGGGGCCCTTCCAAGGGCCCCGCAGGGGCCCCCTGCAGGGGCCGAAGCCGCCCAAGACACCTTCCGCGTCGAGGTTTTGGTCGCGACGCGGGGCGGTCAGGCCAAGGGGGAGGAGGAGGGGGAGGAGGAGGGGGAGGAGGAGGAGGAGGAGGAGGAGGAAGAGGAGGAGGAGGAGGGGGAGGAGGGGGAGGAAAAGGAGGAGGAGGAAAAGGAGGAGGAGGAGGAGCAGCAGAAGCAGCAGGAAAGGAAGTAGGAGCAGCACCAGGAAAGCAAGAAGGAGGAGGCGGAGGAGGAGGAGAAGGAAGAAGAGGAGGAGGAGGAAGAAGAGGAGGAGGAGGAGGAGGCTGAGGAGGGAGGAAGAGGAGGGGGGGGGCGCGAGACGCAAGGCTCAGCGCCCCAGGCGCCTCGTCGTTCGTTTCCCCCCTCTGTGCTCGCGCCTTCGTCGTCGTCGTCGTCGTCGTCCGATTGGGCCGTGTGGGCCAGCGCGGGGCGAGCCCTGTGCTGACGCCCGTTGACAGGGGACCCGCGGAGGGCGACCCCAGAGATCCGATGTCTTTCGACCCACTCCCGGGAACTGGCGTTTCATCCTGAGTCGTTGCTTGACGGTCCCGCGGCCCGGCGAGGGCCCCCAGGGCAGAAAACGACGAAGTCTTCCGGATTGTCTGTTCAATATCTTGGTATCGCTCGGACGTGTGCACTTTGTCTCGGCGGGGATTCTTAAGGAGCATCCGGGATCATCCTGCGGAGAAAAAAAAAAAACACGCACGAAATGTCAGAAAAACACAGGGAATGGACGTCCGAGCGATGGCCAGATATGCTGTTGGCCTGGATCCACTTGGCCCCAGCGGCTTGGGGGGCGCCCCGAGGTTGGGGCCAGGCTGGCGGCGACGGAGGGTGGGGCAGCGCGTGGGCGGAGTAGGCCGCCGTGAGGAGGCCGAGCCGCGCCTGCAGCCCGGCCGCGCTCGGCCAGTCCGCTCCCGCGCCCTCGACCCTCCCGCGCTCCGAGGTCCCCGTGGCTTCTCCGGAGGAGCAGGAGGTCATGATGAGGATGCTGATGTTGATGATGATGATGACGACGACGACGACCACGACGACGACCACGACGACGACGACGACGACGACGACGACGACGACGACGACGACGACGACGATGATGATGATGATGATGATGATGATGATGATGATGATGATGATGATGATGATGATGATGATGATGATGATGATGGTGGTGGTGGTGGTGGTGGTGATGATGATGATGATGATGATGTGTTGCTGCTGCTGATGATGATGATGATGATGATGATGATGATGATGATGATGATGATGATGATGATGATGATGATGATGATGATGATGATGATGATGATGATGATGATGATGATGATGATGATGATGATGATGATGATGATGATGATGATGATGATGACGACGAGACTCGATATGAGAGAAAGCAAAAGGGCACGAACATACACTTGCGGAGGTGCGCGGAGCCGCCCCTGGCGCGCTCTGTGTGCCAGGGAGGTGGGGTCTAGCGCCGACCCATGAAATCCGCACGGACCTTCGAAATTGTTTGTTAATGTTGTCCTGTTTCTCGAGGTGCATTCCACGATTTACCTGATTTCCCAGATGTGATACTCTACACGGGCTGCAGAAACGAGGGCCGCTAGACACTAGAAACTGCAGAATTCCTGGAACGTATTCTGAGCCGATCGCATGGTGACATCATTCTCGTCCTGTTTCAACGAGCCCCCGAAGGCGCTTCCAGCCTCGAAGTATGTTCAATCAGCTGCGCCTCCACAAGAGCGTTCTGTGGTTGCCCGGATCGTCCCGAGCGGTCGTCGGATGCCCGAGATTTGGCCTGAAAGTCACACATGGCGGGGCGTGTTTGATCGGTCTCGGTCTCTTGGGGCCCTTGCCGGGCCCTGGGGCCGTCAGAAAACTATTCGGGATGGAACGCCAGTCTTTACAAAGGGGTCTGGACCTCTGAGGTGTTTTGCGGCAACGAAAAAAACACAACGTCGGGTGTTTTGGCAGAGATGACAATATCTCGGATGCCCTGCCATACAGTCAGTGAGCAAATCATCGCTCGTGAGAGTCCAGCAAGCATGTTACTGTATTGGAGGCGGTGCGGGAAGGATGTCTTGGTTCTTCCCTCCTCCCGCTATTGGTCATTATCCTGCTGTTCTCCCTCCAGGCCCCATCCTCCTCGCGCGCGCACGCACGCAGACGCGCGCACCTTAGCGCGCGCGCACGCGCCCGCCGACGCACGCGCACGCACACGCGCCCGCGCACACCCACCTGCCTCCCCCCCCCACACACATACACACACACACACTTCTAAGGCAGCGGCGCAGAGGGCCCTTAAGCGCGATCAGCAGATGGAAGTGCTGATTGCAACCGAACTCTGTCGATAGCGCAGCGTCGTGAAGCGTGGCACGCTGCAGAATGGAAGCGATGAGTGTGTCAGAGGAACTGCAAGTCCAAACGAAACATTCAGCGGACAGACACACACACGCACACACGCGGCGCTTCGACACATGTGGCAAGACGCGTAATCAACGGACCCCGTTCGAGAGCGATGCGCCGATTCAGTGCTAGACCCCCCCCCTACGCCGCATTCCTTACCCCTCCTCCCTTCCCTTCTATCGCTTTACAGCCCTAAGCAGGGTGTCGCTCCTGCGCCCAACGTCTACAGGCAAAACGCTCCAGCAGCTCATGCCGCAAATAAGAGTGCGCACCATGACCATGTTTTATCGAGTGGCAACGTTCAAGCAACCCACGGCGTGCGTCCAGCACCCAGTCTTCGCGAGAGGCAGCGTGCCAGCAGCCTTCGTTGTGCGTTCCAGCACTTCGTTGCTACAGCACGCAAGCGCCTCGGCCGCCATTGGCGCGCGCTTCATCACTCAATATGATGCCAAGCGCGAGCGTTCGAACCTGGGCCTTAGCCAACTCAGACGTAGCCACCTAGTACAACAGATCGTTAGCAACAGATTCCTCGGACAGCTTTCTTACCTTTTTTAAGGCGTCCTCTGGGGTGGCGGGGGGGGGGGCTCGTTGTCGCGGCTGCTGGGCGCGCCCCGGGGACGCCGGTCAGGACGCACCCTGGGAGAGCTCTGGGAGGCATCGCTATCGGTCAGAGCGAGGGAGCCGAAGGGTCTTACAGTGAGCCCGCATACTAAGGAAGAGCGACTCTCTGAGGTTTACTCCTGCATGTTTCCCTGTCGGCGCATCTTTGGCCGCGTTCGCTGGCCGCGCCCTGCGCGCAGAGTGTCGACATGGTCTTCCAAGGCCCGTGCATCCCTACCGCCCATCCTGAGTATGCAGGTCGGCGATGCACCGTCCTTGGGTGCGTGGGTGCGGGGAGACGTAAGACTCGGGTACGGGGGACTCGGGTTGGGCCCAACGGGGCCATCATGAAAATGACGAGACCCAATCCGAAATTTGACGCGGGCTCCCGCTGCAAACATCCCACGAAAATTGGACCGTCAAAATCCAGGACGCGCTCGTCAAAAAACATTGGCGAACCCGAGTCTCACGCTTCCCCGAAAGTGGGACTCCGTGGCCTGGACTCTGCTTGCTTGCTGCTCGTTCCCCAAGCAGTGCGTGCACTTTGGGCTTTTCGCTTTGCTTCCAAGGCAGTGGCTGGCGGTCTGGCGGCACCGTGCCAGCCGTCGCCGCCTCGTCGCCGCCCATCCACTGTGCTCGGCTGGCGGTCGGGCGGATCCGTGCCCGCCGTCCCCGCCCCGTCGCCGCCCCGTCGCCGCCGGTCGTCTGGGCCTAGCCGGCAGTGTGGCGGCATGGTTTCGCCGTCGCCGCCCCGTCGCCGCCCCGCCGCATTGCGAAACACTGATTGCTCCGCATACGTAACTTGCACCAGAATGTTTCAAACATGCTTGCGCTCGCGCTGCTGCGACTTCTTAAGAAAACCATCGGCCTTTCAACATGCTCCATCAACTCTGCCAAGCGAGCGTCTCCCGCCACATGTTGAGATCATTCGAACTCCTTTGCGCGCGTGTTGGGGGCGGGCAAAGCCCCTGTCAAATAACACCATGCGGCCGATCTCGCGCGTCGGCCGCGAGCGCATGTCGAACCCCCGCCAAACCCTTCATCACCGACACGGAGACCGTCATCGTAGTCGGCGTGATCAGCATCGGCGCCGCCAGTGGATTTGCTGACGTCGATGCCATCATCGTCACCAGCATCCATACTACCATCATCGTGTCCACCGTGAGCGACGTTGCCATGGTACAGTGCATTTCAAAGCCACCGACTCGCAGTGAGGTGCCCGCTGGGAAGTTCCAGACAGTCAGCGCCACCGCGGCCGCGTCGGTCGCGCCAAACTAGCTGGCCGCTTCGCGAGCATTCGCGGGCTTGCGCGGCCGCAGAGATGCACCAGCCAACACCAAGCATTCGCCGCAATCGACGCCGCATGGGTTTTGCAAACCAATTGCGCAAGCAGTGGAGCTGACAACTTCAAGCTCGGCAGGGTGAATATTATTAGTTAGATTGCACAGCTGGTGCTGCACCACATAGATTTCGCAGCATGTAGTGCACCACGCTGGTTGCACTACATTGTTTGCTCCGTGCATATATACATATAACGGCGCACCGGGTCCGGGGGCCCGGGGCCGGGACCTCGACCACAAATGTGCGCCCCGGGGGGCCCGGAGGCTCGTCGGGGCTTGCCGGAGGCCTCCCCAGTCAGACAAGACGGCCCAAGAAGCGCCCAAGACGGCCCAAGAAACTTCCAAGAGGCCTCCAAGAGGGCTCCGAGATGCTGAAGATGGCCTCCAGACGTCCAAGGACGCCCCCAAGAGGCCCCAAGAAGCCTCCAACATGCGTCCCAAGAGGGCCCCTAGACGCAAAAATTGGCCCATTCCCTTCGTAAAACGTACATTTTCAACAAAGTTGTCTTTTGGGCTTTCCGACGTTACAGGACGGCCCAAGAGGCGCCCAAGACCGCCCCAAGACGGCCCAAGAAGCTTCCAAGAGGGCCCCAGGACAGCCCAAGAGGGCCCCAAGACGGCCCAAGAGGCGCCCAAGATGGCCCAAGAGGGCCCCAAGACGGGCCCAAGAGGGGGCCCAGAGGGGGACCACGAACCGCAAGCTCGAGCCTTCCGCCCCAAGAGGCCGCCAGGAGGCCCCCAGGAGGCCCCTCAAGAGGCCCCAGGAGACCCCAGACGTCCAAGGACGCCCCCAAGAGGCCCCAAGAAGCCTCCAACATGCGTCCCAAGAGGGCCCCTAGACGCAAAAATTGGCCCATTCCCTTCGTAAAACGTACATTTTCAACAAAGTTGTCTTTTGGGCTTTCCGACGTTACAGGACGGCCCAAGAGGCGCCCAAGACCGCCCCAAGACGGCCCAAGAAGCTTCCAAGAGGGCCCCAGGACAGCCCAAGAGGGCCCCAAGACGGCCCAAGAGGCGCCCAAGATGGCCCAAGAGGGCCCCAAGACGGGCCCAAGAGGGGGCCCAGAGGGGGACCACGAACCGCAAGCTCGAGCCTTCCGCCCCAAGAGGCCGCCAGGAGGCCCCCAGGAGGCCCCTCAAGAGGCCCCAGGAGACCCCAGACGTCCAAGGACGCCCCCAAGACGCCCCAAGAAGCCTCCAACATGCGTCCCAAGAGGGCCCCTAGACGCAAAAGTTGGCCCATTCCCTTTGTAAAACGTACATGTTCAACAAAGTTGTCTTTTGGGCTTTCCGACGTTACAGGACGGCCCAAGAGGCGCCCAAGACCGCCCCAAGACGGCCCAAGAAGCTTCCAAGAGGGCCCCAGGACAGCCCAAGAGGGCCCCAAGACGGCCCAAGAGGCGCCCAAGATGGCCCAAGAGGGCCCCAAGACGGGCCCAAGAGGGGGCCCAGAGGGGGACCACGAACCGCAAGCTCGAGCCTTCCGCCCCAAGAGGCCGCCAGGAGGCCCCCAGGAGGCCCCTCAAGAGGCCCCAGGAGACCCCAGACGTCCAAGGACGCCCCCACGACGCTTCGCGTCACCAATTTCTTCT